AAGGAGGCTGCACCTGAGGGGCTACCGAGGGGGGAGGGGTAGCCTGGGACACACCTGACGGGGCGGGACCAGGGGGGGGAGGCTGTACCGGGGGAGCAGGAGGGGGAGCGGAAGTCAGGAAGAGAGGGGGAGGAGGAACCGGGAGACCTCGACTGGGGTACCTAACATAGTAGGGGGTGGACTCCTCGAAACGGACGTCACGGGAGTCAAAGAACCGGTGAGAGGGAGGGTGGTAAAAGGTGAAGTCAGAGGAGTCCTCAGGGAAACCAAGGAAGACACAGGGAACGGCGCGAGGCGAGAGCTTGTCCGCGGAAGTGTCGCGGACAAGAGCCAAGCAACCCCAGACACGAAACCTCGACGCAACACCAGGGGACCCGGTCCAAAGACTGGTCAGTGAAGCCTCTGGCCGAGAGACGCGTGGCCAGAGGTTCAGCTGGTGAGCGGCGTACCTAACCGCGTAGGGCCACAGAAAATGGGGGGCACGGGCGTGAGTCAAGGAGGTCCGGGCGATCTCCATGACCAAGCCTATGCGGCGCTCAGCAACCCCATTCTGCTGTGGGGACTCTGGAAGCGTCCAGGACTGACGAATGCCCTGCTCGCGACAGAATTCAGCGAGAATGCCGGAGCGAAACTCACCCCCACGAGTGAAGACAGCTGACACGACGACCACGAGTGCCCACAGTGGTAAGCAACCACCTGATCAGCGTAGAAGTCACCTCAGACTTCTTCGCCAGGGGGAACACTGTGGTGTAGCGGGAGTAGTCGTCAACGACCACCAAAAAGAAACGCTCGCGCTCAGGGCCAAAGCGAGGGGCGGGGCCCCAGACGTCCAAGTGGAGCGTCTCAAAAGGCTCGGTGGCCGGACGAAGGGAGGAGGAGTGAGGGGTGGCGCGCAGCCGACCCTCGACGCAGGGATCGCACGGCGGTGCAAGCGAAGGCGGCAGCGACGGCAAGACACGCGGGAGGCCTAAGACAAGACGCTGACGAAACATAGCGCGCAGACGAGGGAGGGACGGGTGCCCCGTCCGGTGGTGCCACAGAACGGTGGGGTGTGCAAGCGACCGGCAGGAGCACGACGCAGCAACTGGACCAGACACGGGAACCTGACCAGACACAGCTACCTGGGGGGACGCAGCAACCTGGTGAGACGCAGGGACCAGACTGGGGGAAGTAACCGGGGCCGGGGGCAGGAGTCGATGCTGCTGCACACCAGGGTCAGTGTGAAGTGTGTAGAGACCTGAGCCCGGCTCCGCTGTAAAGGTGGCAAGAGGCGCATAAGTGTCTCCGTCAACACAAACCGCCGTCTCACCAGAGGGCTCAATCCACACACCCACGTGCTGACTCACAAGAGGCCTCACGCCCACCAAGTTCCTCGAGAACGAGGGGACATGAAAGCCAGTCAGAGACCCAGAGGGAACAGCAGGGCACGGAAGAGTAGTAGTGTAGCGAGCAGTGACTGGTCCCGAGGTGGGATCAGCCAGTGCTACAGAGACTGGCGCAGGAAGCGGAGTAAGTGTCGTGTGGTCCCTGAAGAAGCAGTGCGAAGCCCCAGAGTCCAAGGTGAAAGACAGCGAAGCGTCCTCCGAACGAGCTCCTGGACTAGTGTCTACACAAGTGCCTACACTAGCAAGAGGCAACTCAGCAAGACAAGCACCTAAGCTAGCAACACCCGAGTAAACAGAGTCAGAAGCACTAGAGTCAACAACAGCATACATAGCATGAGGAGTTCCAAAGAGATCAAGCAACTGAGAAGCTGACATGCCCCAAAGGGCAGGGCCGTACGTCTGAACAAGAGGAAACCAGTCAGGGGCAGGGCCTCCAACGCCGTAGGCCAAGCGAACCGTGTCAGTGAGCTGAGCAAAGCACTGACCAGGAGGGTGGGTGCGACCACAAGGCTGGCCCCGGCGAGCACCTGTCAAAAGCTGATAGGTGCACGAAGGGTGAACAACACCTCGCTGAGGCTGACGCTGTCCTGGCCCCGAAACCTGCTGCTGCCGCTGCTGCTGCGGGGGCTGCTGCAAGGGGAGGGGCTGCTGCTGCTGCCGCTGGGCCAGGTACCACGCCGCTGCTCCACCCGCCGCTGCCGGCAGACCAGAAGGTGGCTGACGAGCCCGGGCGTCGCCTCCGCCAGCTGCAGTAGCGGGGTCACCGGCCGCTGCACGAGACGCCTCTCCAGGCCCTGCACTCCCGCCGCCACCAGTCGGCACGCCACCCCCGCCACCTCCGCCGCCAACGCCTCCACCGCCGCCGCCACCTGTACCCTGACCGCCCCTCTTGCCACCTCTACCTCGAGACCGCGAAGAAGTCGTAACAGCAGCTGCGGTCACGTCAGTAGCAGCAGTGGCGAGAGAGGCCGTAAAGGTGGGCAGCTGAGGGACAGTGCACCCGTGGAACAGCGGAGGGGGCACAGCACCAGAGGCGGAGGCTACTGAGCGGAGGTTGCTCTCGACGTCCTTGAGCGCAGACTCAAGGACCTCGATAGTGAGCTCACTAGGGTGCTTCAGAAGAAGCGTGTCACGGACTGAGGCAAGGCGGTCAGGGAGGCTAGTGGCGATGAAGTAGATAGTAATCGCCAGTGCAAGCTGTGCGTCAGTGCAGGCAGCGCGGTAGCTAGAATCAAGCGAGCGGAGGTGAGCAATCAAGTCAGCAGAGCGCTCAAACGAGGCGAGGTCAGGGAACAGGAACGGTAGGAAGAGTCGGCCAAGAGAGACAGTGGTGGGAGTAGCGTAGCGGGCCTTAATCGCAGTCAGGAACTCACTAGCAGTGCGAACCTGAGTGAAGTGGGCCTCCTCAGACTCAGGGAGGAGGCTGCTAAGAGCGATGCAGGCCGCAGCGTCACGCGACTTCCACACCGTTAGGTCAGCACGCTGGCTGGCAAAGCGGGCTCTAGCAGCGTCGTCAGGGGCAGAGCCTAAAGGCGTAGGGTCGTCGGGCGCAGGAAGGTCACCAGTAGCGTGCGCCCAGAGGGACTCACCCGCCTGGACCTGACTCTCTAAAAGGCGACGCGCGCGCAGGAGTCAGACCGAGAACTCGAGGGGTCGACCGTCAGCGTCAAAACGAAGAACTCTAGGAGTCGCCATAGTGGAAGTACGAGCGACAGGACGCGTAGTAGAGCAGAGAGAGGTCTCGCAGCAGGCCTAACAAGCAGGCGCAGCGGCGGAGAAAACGAGCAGACGTGGCAGCGCGAGCAAGCAAGCACGCGTGCAGAAAGAGGCAAGTCAGCACAGCGGGCGAAGAGCGGGCGTGCGTAGAAACGGGCGCAGCTAGCACTCAGGCGCAGGGCGCAGGGCGCGGGGAGGCAAGGGGCGCAGGGTGCAGGGCGCGGGGAGGCGCGGGCGCAGGGCACAGGGCGCGGGGAGGCAAGGGGCGCAGGGTGCAGGGCGCGGGGAGGCGCGGGCGCAGGGCACAGGGCGTAGGGAGGCGACGGGCGACGGGCGCAGGGCGTAGGGCGCGGGAAGGCGTGGGCGCAGCGGGCGCGCGGGCGTAGGGACGACGCGGCGGGCGCGTAGGGCGGGGGTAGGGACGCGACGGCCGCGTAGGGCGGGCGTAGGGACGACGCGGCGGGCGCGTAGGGCGGGGGGTAGGGACGCGACGGCGGGCAGGCGCGATTCGACGGGCAGCGGGGGGAAAAACGCGACTCGACGGGCAGCGGAGGGGAAAACGCGACTCGACGGGCAGCGGGGGGGAAAACGCGACTCGATGGGCAGCGGGGGGGAAAACGCGACTCGACGGGCAGCAGGGGGGGGAAACGCGACGGGCAGCAGGGGGGAAGGGGGGGGAGAAGGTCGCTACGCTACGAGAGTAGTGGATCGGCGGAACGAGTGGTAACGAACGAACGCGACTAGAGCGGGCCGGCGCTAGGCTCGGGCAAGACGTGCGCAACTAGTACGACAGAGTGAGACAGGCTCGGGCGAAACGAACGAGGTCGGGAGGAGCGGGATCCCATAGGATCCGAACCTAGGTGATACCATGTCAAGAAAGGAAGTGATCGTGTCATTGATGTGAGTTGGGGTACATATGACAAACCCTAACCTCTGTACCCCCTAAGACAAACCTCACTATAGGCTACAACATTTGACAGTTTTCCCCATTCCACATCAAGGCTAGTGGAGCCTTGGGTTTGTGTGCCTTGTTCTGCATGGTGAGTTGAGTTCTAGGAAATTGATGGTGAACCTCTGCAAACGCATCCCCTGGAGTAGACTCGTGCAACAAGTTGAGGTTTACATCTCTGGAGAAAGTTGCGCTTGCACTTGTCTGGTGATTTGGGGTTTTTTTTTCTGTGAGAGTGTGCATATTAGGTTGGAATGTTTTTCATACCAGGGAAACGTAATGTTTTTATTACACCGCATTGCACCGTACCCCGACCTCGAGTACACACCTCGGCACTAACTTGGCTCCAGTTGCTGTCTGTCCATCTCACCACTCACGATTCGAATGGAGCCCATAGCGCCATCAGCAGCCAGCCCGTTGAGTACATCCTATCGTTACCTCGACTCGGCCAGCATCCACCAAATCGCGCGTCGCTCGTCGACCAGCTCATGTTCATGTTTACCCAGACCTCCGCGGCTCCGCGTATTAACGACTTGGCGGGGCTTAGCGGGGAGGAGAAGCAGAGCGGGAAATGTTGAGCGCGATGAGGTCGTGGCGGAGAGCGGAGCACAGTGGCAGCAGCGACGCGCCCACGCGGAGAATCAGGCTTAGCGCGCGGTTATGGGGAAGGAGGGTCGGGGGCTTTCCGCTAGCGGCTAGCGCGATGGAGTGAGGCGTTTGCGCGATGGCGGACGAGTCGATTTTGCCGGGCGTCTCGGCGTGTCAGCCGCCCTGATACTTGGATTGCGCGGAATATTCGCATGCGCGCCCGCGCTCAGACGTGCATCCCCTTTCCAGACTCCTAGCGGTATGTCGTTTGCGAATCTGATTTCACGTACGAACCGATCCATGACTCGTCCTCATTCGCCCCCTGCCTTGTCCGCACCCTCCTCCCCACTTTCCTCCTCGCTCTATGCGTGGGGGATTTCGGCGGGGAGAGCGCGGAGGCGCGCCTGGAGAGCAGCCCTTCTCGCGCACGCCTCCGCCCTCTCGTCGCGCACTCGCACCTCCCACCTCTCCTTGCTTATTCGCTCCCCACCCGCTCTCTCCGCGTGCCGCGCAGCTGCTTCCGGTCGGTTGCGCGCGCTGCTCCCCCCGTCCGCCTCTGCTTGACGCCGCGGGCAGTGCGGGTTTGCACGAGTGCAGGGGCCGCGGCGGGTGGAAAGTGCGCGGGCGGGGTGGAAGCGCGGATGGGAACGTGCGACAGCGGCGGGGCGGGGAGCACTGAGGGGCGGGGTTGAAGTACGCCCTCCCTCTACAAGCGCCCTTGGTAGGCGCTTAGAAACGCCCCCCAGGCACTGGGGAAGGGAAGAGCGGATGGGCGCAAGGGGGGATGGGCGCAAGGGGGGATGGGCGCAAGGGGGGATGAGCGCAAGGGGGGATGGGCGCAAGGGGGGATGGGCACAAGTGGGGATGGGCGATGGTAGTGGTGGCATTGGGACGCATTCCTGCCGAAGCAGATAGCAGCAGGCTGGCTGGCTAATTGGGAGCTAACAAGGGAGGGACGAGCAGGAGAGGTGCGAGCAGGAGAGGTGCGAGCAGGAGAGGTGCGAGCAGGAGAGGTGTGATTATGGGAGGTGCGAGCATGGAAGGTGTGAGTATGGGAGGTGTGAGTATGGGAGGTGCGAGCATGGGAGGTGCGAGTATGGGAGGTGTGAGTATGGGAGGTGCGAGCATGGGAGGTGTGAGTATGGGAGGTGCGAGCATGGGAGGTGTGAGCATGGGAGGTGCGAGCATGGGAGGTGTGAGTATGGGAGGTGTGAGTATGGGAGGTGCGAGCATGGGAGGTGCGAGCATGGGAGGTGTGAGTATGGGAGGTGTGAGTATGGGAGGTGTGAGTATGGGAGGTGTGAGTATGGGAGGTGTGAGTATGGGAGGTGTGAGTAATGGAGGTGTGAGTAATGGAGGTGTGAGTAATGGAGGTGTGAGTAATGGAGGTGTGAGTAATGGAGGTGTGAGTAATGGAGGTGTGAGTATGAGTCAACCTATGCATGCCAGCCAACCGGTGATGGCAGCATGCAGGCAAGCCAATTGAGGTAGGGTGAGCAATGGAGGGGCGAGCATGGGAGGTGTGAGTATGGGAGGTGTGAGTATGGGAGGTATGAGGATGGGAGGTATGAGTATGGGAGGTGTGAGTATGGGAGAAGCGAGTATGGGATGTGTGAGTATGAGTATGGAGGTGTGAGTATGAGAAGCAGTGAGGGCACGGTGGCTGGAGCATGAGACATGTCACAGGACGTGCGCGATGGGGTGGGAGTGTCAAAAAGAAAGAGGGTGGAAGAATGAGAGGCGAATTTATGCAGGGGAGGCTGTGACGAATGGAGAAGAGGTTTGGGAAACAGGCAAGTGGCATGTGGTGCCGGATGGATGGATGGATTGGCCGCTGTGGCTTGCCATTCCATGCAACTTTCCATTCCCACTTCCCCAGCCCACTTCCCTGCCGTTACACTTTATATAGTGCAGTGCTTTGTCAACTTCCTATTTCCACTTTCTCAGTCATGTTTGCACTTCCAATTCTGAGTCTACTCATATTGTCTTATGTTCTATCATCTACACTGTCATTTTCCCTGCCTACTTCCAGTACCGTTTTTGCAAGAACTCTGATCATTTTGAAAGGCTCTGCGCAACCATCCGCTCATTTGTCGCCATTGTTTTCACGTGCATACCATGGCAGGCGCAGGCATGGCATCTCCCTATGAAGGAACGCCTGGCCCACACCATGCCACCATGGAATTTGTGATGGCAGCACACGGTGTTGTGTGACTCAATGCTGTATAATGAATAACCTCCATTGATGCCGGTGTCGTTCCTGCTGGCTGCTGTTGACCACGCATGTGACCCTCACCCCAAGGAGACAACACTAGAGTGCTACCATTCCATCCCACCTCACCCTTCTCTCCCTCCCACTCACCTCTCTATCACCACCACAAATATCTCAGCTGCTGCCTCACCACTTCATTCCTTTCATTGCCCGCCACCTTAGGCTCCTCCCTGTGATGGAATCACAGTGCTTGCATCAGGTGCGGATGCAGCATGCAGGCGTCAAAGGGTGTATGACGCAATGGCTCTTCACTCACTGGGTTGTGCAGACTACAAGATTTTCTGCATGGCGATCCCTCTTTGACCAGGGCAACCTTTATCTGGCAAAATCGGTTGGACAGTATTATCTACAGTGACCATATTGTAGTTTCATGTAACTTTCAAGCCAATTGTTTTTGTTTGCATGTTTGAATGGTAAGACAAGAACAATATGCATTTGATTGACAAAAAATAATGCTTGAGTCCATTCATTTATTGAGGGTGGGATGATTGGCGGGAAACAACTAGAAACCATGTGCTTGACTGCCCAGCATTTTGCCAAAGCATGGATGTTCATGAAAGAAGTATTTCTTTTCGAGTGGAAGAAATGGTATACTTGCGTTGACGGAAATTGAGCGTTTGTTCGAAACAAACAGAGTGCTCAATAGCGAGTATCATTTGTGAGTTCTCGATAGGAATCCTCGAACTCCTCGTGAGTCCCCGCCAGCAGCTGATCCAACAACTTCATTCCTTGCTCCAGTAGCCCAAGCCTTGTCAAGTGTGTCCAGCGCGAAATCCAGTCAGATTAGCCCAGCCTAGGCTCCCTGAAGATCCCTAAGAAGCGCTGGTGTGAGCTAATTCGTTAGATTTGGGCATGGTAGAACTCGGAAACACGTCAGCAATATGCCAAAGCTTCGACACGGCGTGGGGACTCTCATTGAGATTGGAAGCTCCTCCAGCAACGCAAGCACGGCGGGTTCCTTCGTCACTCGCCTTACCTCCAGCTCGCAGGTCAGCGTTGGTCGTCATCCGTGTTTCTAGAACCTCGTGGAAGAAAATTAGGAGCTGAGATACTGAGAAGATCCGTATATAAGCGATTTTCTTTAGTCCTTGGTCATTTAGCTCTGGTCAACGAGACCTTGTTCCATACCCATCAGAAAGTTTGGGAGGCAGCCGGTAACAGCCCTCCAGGCGAAAATAATTTCGAGGAGAACCACAGGGTGCTCTGGAAACGACCATGTACAGGCTTTTGTCGAGTGTCCAACTGGGTTCGGGTGTTTCGGGGGGGAAACCGTTGAAACTCGTAATTGATGGCAACGTGTGGGGTTCTATCGTAATGGCTGGATCTCTCGATGTTGCGACGTGGCAGTACACTGCCCTGAACATCCCGTTTGCGTGCGTGGACAATCGTAAACAGACGCACGGGGGGTTTCCTTTGACACGTAACCCTGTCGTTTTAGTTTCCTTCGCTTATATCGACGGTCAATGAATGTGCCGCGCTTCCCCTTGACCTCCGAGCTTTTGCTCGGCGTGAATTCTCAGAGCGCCGAGCATCCGTTGCTCGGCGCATGCCCATAATCACGACGTGTGCGTGCTCAGCGAGACTGCACGGCGCACCGAGCATCCCTTGCTTCGCGCATCCCAGTGGACACGCCGTGCGCATGCTCGTCGCGATTGCGGAGCATGCCGTGCATGAGACGCTCGGCGCAACCCGGTGCGGCGCACCGTGCATCCGCAGCTCGGCGCAAGCCCGTTAACACGGCGAGCGGATGCACGGCGCGCATGCGACGCGCGCCGTGCACGTGATGCTCGACGCATAAATCACGATCGAGCCGAGCACGTGCTCGGCGTCCCCTCTTTCCCATTCTCTGCTCGTCAGTCCCGCTCTGCACTTCATTCTCTGTCTCGCGCCCACATTCTCGCACTCTCTCCGTCATTCTCTCTCTCTGCCCGTCATTCCATCTCCGTGCCCATCATTAACGCGGAGCATGCGTGAACACGCACCGATGGTCGGTGTGAATGCGCGCCGAGCGCATGCTCGCCGTGGATGCGCGCCGGGCACATACACGCCGTGAATGCGCGCCGAGCGGATGCTCGGTGTGAATGCGCGCCGAGCACATGGCGGCACGGGCCGTGAATGCGCGCGGCTCGCATGCTCGGTGTGAATGCGTTACGAGCGCATGCACGGCGCGCATTCACGGCCAGCCCATGCACGTTCTCCAGGCCTTCCACTCTCCCTGTCACGCATTCACCCTCTCCGCCCGTCATACACCCTCCCTGCCACACATTCACCCTCTCCGCCCGTCATACACCCTCCCTGCCACACATTCACTCTCTCTGCCCGTCGTACACCCTCCCTGCCACACATTCACCCTCTCCGCCCGTCATACACCCTCCCTGCCACACATTCACCCTCTCCGCCCATCATACACCCTCCCTGCCACACATTCACTCTCTCTGCCCGTCGTACACCCTCCCTGCCACACATTCACCCTCTCCGCCCGTCATACACCCTCCCTGCCACACATTCACCCTCTCCGCCCATCATACACCCTCCCTGCCACACATTCACTCTCTCTGCCCGTCGTACACCCTCCCTGCCACACATTCACCCTCTCCGCCCGTCATACACCCTCCCTGCCACACATTCACCCTCTCCGCCCGTCATACACCCTCCCTGCCACACATTCACCCTCTCCGCCGTTCGTTCCATCTTCCTGCCACACATTCACCCTCTTCATTCACTCTCTCTGCCCGTCATACACCCTCCCTGCCACACATTCACCCTCTCCGCCGTTCGTTCCATCTTCCTGCCCCTCGTTCGCTCCCTCAATCCTCATCCCTGCCCCTCGTTCTCTCCGTACGCTGTCTTCCCCGCTGGTTGCCCCTTGTGTGCCCGTCATCACCCTCTTTGTTTTGTGGATTACCACAGGGCCATGGCTTACAACTGCCCCGACTGTCCTGCTAGGGGTTTTACAACACGAGGCAACCTAACGAACCACCGCATTAGCACGCGATGCCCTGGGAGTGCGCGTCATGCGGCATCGGGGAATGCTCCAAGCCCATTCGTCATGAGCCGACAACTTGCCGCGTCCATGGTTTCTCCTACTCTTTCCCTTCCCTCCCCTACACCCTCCATGCCTTCTTCTTCTCACTCTACGCCGGTTCCACCACCCCTTAATGTAAATACAGAGCCCTCTACGGGCGATGATGGTTCTAACCTTAGGCGGGACAACATGATTCCGGACACATTCCAAACGCCCCCCTCACCCTCGAGTTCCATGGAGGGGGTGCCTGATGTCATGCCCGATGACGCCACTTCATCCCATGCGGATGAAGAGGCCGATGGGACTTCAAGTGACGGCGAGGAGAGCCCCCCTTTTGTGTTTTTGGATGCTTGGGCCCATTGGTTACTCACATGTGGGGTGTCTCACAATAAAATTGATGAGTTGTTCAAGATTTTTCGTCACCCAAACGCCAACCTCGAAGAGGTGGCTGCTTTCAAAAACGCCAGAGACGTTGAGAAATATGCTCTCTCAAGGGCACCCGATTCGCATCGGAATTGGAAAAAGGCACGGTTGCGATTGGCGGGAAAGCCACATCTTGAGTACTTCTATTGTGATGCCATTCAAGGCATCAAGGACCTTCTTACCCACCCTAAGTTGGCTCCCAAACTTGTCCTCAAACCCACCCCACGTGCGCCAAATAAACCTCACGTGTACTCCACTCCCGAGACGGGAGATTGGTGGCATACTCTTGATGAGGAGATAAAAAAGGAAGATCCGAGTGGGGTGGTTTGTGCTCTCATCATCGCTAGTGATGAGACGCATATGGACCAACGGGGCAAAGCCAAAGGTCACCCCGTATACCTTACTCTTGCCAACATTGATAAAGATGACCGTTGGAAACCGTTTGGTCACGTTTTGCTCGCACTTCTCCCCGAGTACCCTTCGGAATACGACTCGGATGACAAGCTTTTTGTTTTCCAGCATGTTATGAACATTGTTCTTGAGCCTCTGAGGAAGGCTTCTCACCACGGCATCCCCATAGTGGATGAAACTGGGGCTTCGTACAACGCATGGCCAGCATTGTATGCGTACGTTGCCGACTACCCTGAGACATGCAAGGTGTCGTGCACCAAATCAGGCGCCACAAGCCACCCGTGTTCCATTTGCACCGTGTTTAAGGACAACTTGAGTGAGTTGATTGACCACCCTAAGCCACGAGTTGCATTCATGCAACAAACTATTGTAAGTCTTTTGCAACGACGTTCCTTGCCTACGGGTAGGAACATGGAGCTTTCAACTCACTCCGTTAAGTGTTTCTTATGGGGATGGCGCTTCGAGTCTCATGCCCTACTTAGTCCATATTTGTGTCTTATGCCTGATATTATGCACCAGGCGGATTTGGGCATTCTCGAATACATTGTCGATGCCATTAGGGCACAATGCAAGGAGGGGGAGAGGGAACTAATAGATGTGCGCTTGAAATTCTTCCGCACAATCAACCGGAACCCCCATTTGAGACTACCAGCAGGCGCATACTTCGCACGAGGTGCCTCGTACCAGGCCTACGAGCATCGGAGTGTGATGCAGATACTCCCTTTTCTTGTTAAGGGTTATGCCACCGATGCGCAGATTGCGGGTATAGTGGCGTACATCGAGTGGTACAGCTATTGTGCACGCGTCTCCGAGCATACCGAGGCGAGCTTGCGCCAACTGAAGCTGATGGCCAGCAGGTAAAATGGTTTCCCCCTCTTTGTTTAACCCACGCCCTAGTAGGAGAGTATATTTATTGAGTCCATTCTGTTTGGCCTTGATGGTAGGATGCTCCGAGGCCTCGAGGCATTCACCCAGAGCTCCAACTGGAACATCATTAAGGTCCATCTTGTGAGCCACTACATCGACGCCATCCGTCGAGCTGGCTTACCTGAGCATTACTGCGCTCAATTGTTTGAGCATCTTCACACTGAGTACGTGAAGAATCCCTATCGTGCGTCGAACAAGCGCAACGCCACTGCCCAAGTGATGAATGCGGAGGTGAACAGGCTACGCCTGCAATACCTCGCACCACAGCTGGGCAAGAGGAAACGCTACGACACAGCGCTTCTTCAGGTGAGTTTAAATTTATGTATCAACCTTACCAATTTATGTATCAGCTGCATTTTACTGTGTTTGAATTTTGTATGCTTACTTTACAATATTGTTCTCAATGTACCAGGCGACATCTACCGGGAGACGCATTCTGTCTCGATCAAGCTGGAAACTGGCGGTCCTGCCGAGGCGAACCCCTCCCTCTCCACCATTCGTGGAACCAGTGGCGCCAGATGCAGCGCGTGACGCGACCTTCACCTCGCAACTGGCTGGTGACCTGCCACATTTGCGACGTGCACTTGACAACGCACCTGGCTGCAATGGGGGAGGCATCGACGTCATCCACGTAAGCCACGTCCTCGCCCCTGTCAGATCGGGCTTATCTCTAAAAAATCGGTACTGTCCGTTTTTTGGGTTGCGAAGCAACCTATTACGATCGATTTGGCCAATTTTTTTTTTTCACATTTTCACATTTTATTTATTTTAAATAAAATATAAAAATAAAAAATAAAAAAAACTGGATGCATTAATTGCTAGCAATGTAACATGTAGGATGTCTTGTCGAGTTGAATTATACTAGGGTGGTGGTAATGATTTTTTTGACAACTAGGTTGTTTTTGTGATTTACTTTGTTGTGCTTTACTACGGTGCCATATAATATGCATTTGAAAAAATAAATGTAATGATCGATGAATGTAGATGAATAGAATGATATTATATAAAATGCGATATATTGTGTAATATATGATATGATAAATGATAAATGCATGCCTAAATTCGATATGAATAATGATTACTTACTGACAATCCATGATGCATATATATAATGATAAAGATGCGTGAAAGCTAACGACCCAAAAACTATGCTACCGCATCCTCCGCCTAGCATGTCGAGGAGCTGATAGCATAATCTTTGAACAATCAGCAGTCACATGAAACAACGCAAACTGTGAAATCCAAAAAGATGGTCAACTTGTCAAACATTATACATGTTCATATTGTGTAGGCTATAGTGGGTTTAGCCTTAGGGGGTACAACATTGCTAGGGTTTCCTACTTGTATCACCCTGCTGCTTAGTTTCACACATTCTCGTTCAGTTCTACATTCTAACATGGTATCACGAGCCTAGGTTGCTACCTAGGACCGCTTTCTCCTACGGGCCCACTATTCCGCTAGAAGCGCCCTCGTGCGCCCTACCTTACGTGCGCCCTCGTGCGCCTTTCTATACTCGTGCGCCCTCGTGCGCCCTCGTGCGCCCTACCTTACGTGCGCCCTCGTGCGCCCCCGTGCGACCCGCCCTTCGGTCTGCCCGCGTGCCGTCCTGCAGCCCTCGCGCTGCCTCCTGCAAGCTAGTACGGCCCTCGAGCCGCCCCTCCAGGTCCGTCAGGCCCTCGAGCCGCCTCTGCAGACCCGTCAGGCCCCCCCGAGCCGCCTCTGCAGGCCCGTCAGGCCCGAGAGCCGCCCCTGCAGCCAGCGCGCTGCCCTGCCGAGCCGCGTGTCGCCCGTGGGCGCTGCCTCTGCCCCGTCGCGCTGCCCTGGGGAGCCGCGCGCGACCCCCGCTGTCCCGTCGCGTCGCCCTGGGGAGCCGCGCTCGGCCCCCGCTGCCCCGTCGCGACGCCCTGGGGAGCCGCGCTCGGCCCCCCGCTGCCCTGTCGCGACGTCCTGGGGAGCCGCGCTCGGCCCCCGCTGACCCGTCGCGACGCCCTAGGGAGCCGCGCGCGACCCCCCGCTGCCCCGTCGCGACGCCCAGGGGAGCCGCGCGCGCCCCCCCCCCCCCCCCCCCCCCCCCCCCCCGCTGCCCCGTCGCGACGCTCTGGGGAGCCGCGCGCCGCCCCCCCCCCCTCGCTGCTGCCCGAGCCACCCTGCAGCCCGCGAGCCGCCTCTGCAGCGCCGAGTGCGCTCTGCCAAACCCTAAAATAAATAATTGATTATTTAAAAAAAAAAAAAAAAAAGGGAGCAGCTGCCCCTGGCCCCTGGAGCAGCCGCCCCTGGAGCAGCCGCCCCTGCAGCAGCCGCCCCTGCAGCAGCTGCCCCTGCAGCAGCCGCCCCTGGACCTCTGCAGCCGCCCCTGGCCCCTGGAGCAGCCGCCCCTGCAGCTGCCGCGGAGCCCTCGCCCTGCAGTGGTAGCGGCCTCACCGTTACCACCGTCGTACGCCTGCCCTTCTCGCCACTGGTGAGCACTGCCCTGCCCGTATTGCTGTTACTGCTGCTCCTGCTGCTACTGCTCTTTCTACTTCTACTGCTGCTCCTGGCGTGGCCAGATGCAGCTCCAGCGCCGTCCGCGTGAGTCCCTCACGCCCCAACAGCTTCGTGAGTGGTATGCTGGTTGGGGTTGTAGGGGTGGCCGCGCTGCTGCTACTACTACTGCTGCTACTACTGCTACTGCTGCTCCTGGCGGTGGCCAGATGCAGCTCCCGCGACGTCCGAGTGAGTCCCTCACGCCCCAGCAGCTTCGTGAGTGGTACGCTCAGCGTGGAGGGTCACGGGGTACTGCTCGCTGCCCGTACGTCATTCGCACTGGTGCTCGGACTGGTCAGCCTTGCGGGACGTTTGGCCACACAGAGTCCCGCTGCTTCGCCCGTCTGAGCGACGCCTGGCGTACAGAGTTTGGCGACGCGGCTGAGCTCCCCGACTGGGTGGAGCTGCTTAGGCAGAGGGTAGATATCTATGCTCTTGACTATGATGCTATCCTCACTGCCATGTATGCATTTCCTACTAGTGCTGAGAGTGCCTGTCACCTGTGTGTGCCGCCTGACCCCGGTATCCAGTCTGCTGCTCTAGGTACTGGTGAGGCTGCTGCACTAGGTGCTCGTGTGTCTGTTGCCCCAGGTGCTGGTGAGGCTGCTGCTCTAGGTACTCGTGAGTCTGCGCCCTCTGGTACTGCGTCTACTGAGGCACTGCACACCTTCACACTGGACTCAGGCGCTTCCCGCTGTTTCTTTCGTGACCGCACTGCCCTTGAGCAGCTTGCTCGGCCGGTTGCAGTCTCCCTCGCTGACCCCTCTGGGGGTCCGGTCATTGCGACCTCCTCTACTGTTCTCCCTTGTCCTGCGGTCCCGTCGGGCACTCTGTCGGGTCTCTACCTCCCCTCGTTCTCTACGAACTTGGTGGCGGGTAGTGCGCTCCAGGACGGGGGTGTCCACCAGTTTACCCCTGCCTACGAGCGTGTGACACACTGCACGTGCGCTCGGACGGGCCGCCACCTGGCTACCTTCACTCGGCAGCCGGGGTCGGACCTGTACACACTGACCACTGAGTCCCCACAGGTAGCTGCGTCTGCGTCTGCGTCAGGTCAGCTGTCTGCCCCCTGCTCGTGTCGCTCTCTGGCACACGAGACTGTCCTCTGGCACCACCGTCTTGGTCACCCGTCAGTGCAGCGCCTTCGTGCCATGCACAACCGGTACCTTGTCTCTGGTCTTCCCAGGGTTCTCCCTCCACTCCCACCCTCGCCTGCTCCTCCCTGCCTTCCCTGTGTCGAGGGGCGGCAGCGCGCCGCTCCTCACTCCTCCTCGTTTCCCCCGACGACTGCTCCCTTGCAGACGCTCCACATGGACGTGTGGGGCCCAGCCCGCGTCCGTGGACAGGGTCAGGAGAGGTACTTCCTGATCGTTGTTGACGACTACTCGCGCTACACCACGGTCTTCCCCTTGCGCACCAAGGGTGAGGTCCCTGATGTTTTGATCCCTTGGATCCGCGCTTCTCGTCTCCAGCTCAGTGAGCGGTTCCACTCGGTCTTTCCTGTCCTGCGTCTGCACTCTGACAGAGGTGGTGAGTTCTCCTCTGACCTCTTGGCAGCCTACTGTGCGGAGCACGGCATCCGCCAGTCGTTCACGCTTCCGGCCTCTCCACAGCAGAATGGGGTTGCTGAGCGCCGCATTGGTTTGGTCATGGAGGTCGCTCGTACCTCCTTGATCCATGCGGCTGCCCCCCACTTTCTGTGGCCGTTTGCGGTCCGATACGCTGCGCATCAGCTCAACCTCTGGCCCCGTGTCTCCGTTCCGGAGACTTCGCTGACACTGCGTTGGACGGGAGAGGTTGGCGATGCGTCGCGTTTTCGGGTCTGGGGATCCCGAGCTTTTGTTCGCGATACGTTCGCGGACAAGCTCTCCTCCCGCGCTGTTCCCTGTGTCTTCCTTGGCTTTGTCCCGGACGCGTCTGGTTGGCAGTTTTACCACGCCACCTCGCGCCGTGTCCTGCCCTCTCAGGACGTCACTTTTGACGAGTCCGTGCCCTACTACCGCCTCTTCCCCTACCGCACTGCCCCGCTCCCCCCCCCGCCTCTCTTCCTCGCGCCAGGTGCTGCTGTGGTAGACCCCCTCCCCCCTCAGGGTGCCGCTCCCTCAGGTGTGTCCCAGGTAGACCCGGTTGAGCCTGTCGAGGTAGCTGTCGACTCTCGTCCTACCAGGGGTGCTGAGCCTGAGCGTGCGGAGCCTGGGGTTGCGGAGTCTGGGGGTGCTGAGCCTGGGGGTGCGGGGTCTGGGGGTGCGGAGCCTGCGGGTGCTGAGTCTGGGGGTGCTGAGCCTGGGGGTGCGGAGCCTGCGGGTGCTGAGTCTGGAGGTGCTGAGCCTGGGGGTGCTGAGCCTGGGAGTGCTACGTCTGAGAGTACTGAGCCTGAGCGTGCTGCACCTGGGGGAGGCCTCTCCTCGCAGCAGCTGCGTGAGTGGTACTTACAGTACTGCAGCCTCAGGAGAGGTGCTTCTGGAGCTCGGAGTGGTGCCGGAGCTGGTGCTAGTGCTTCCCCTCCTAGGCGGGAGCTGCCCTCTCCCCAGCAGCTCCGAGAGTGGTACGCAAGGCGCTGCAGTCTCCGGAGTGGCGCTCCCGGTGTCTTGGACTCTGGAGCTTCTGGAGTTACTGGAGGTGCTGCTGCTGCTGGCGGTGCGGCTGGCGCTGCTGGAGGTGCTGCTGGTGCTGCTGGAGCTGCTGGAGGTACTGCTGCTGCTGCTGCAGGTGCTGCTGGCGCTGCTGGAGGTACTACTGGTTCTGGTGCTGCTGGAGCTGCTGGAGGAGTTGCTGCTGCTGGC